GGAACTTAGCATGGTTATATTTCAGATGAAGATGTATCTTATAAAAATAGGGTAATCTGAAATTTCGGTTTTGATGCTTTAGTCAGTGGTATTGCGGTTTCAATGAAAACTCGTCGCGGTTTCTTTGTAAATGCATCATCAGTTATTAGTAATTTTTTGAGGCGGTTTTATGGTTTCTAACAGACCCCATGTGAGGTGCACTCTCTCCCCTCCACCTCTCGGACAGGGGTGTGAGCGTCTCAGCAAAAAGTATTTCGGTGGGTTCGCGATTGCGTGACGTGGCTGTTATGTCATGGCCAGACGAAACCGAACATTTTTGGGGGAGCTCAAAGTCACATAGCGCAATACAGATTTTTGTTCTATTTATTTATCGCTTTATTTGTTTGTTAGTGACGAGAGGATATTCATATTCTTTTGACAGTGAGTAATGCGCTGGAAAGCAAACAAGGAAACATATCTAAAGAAAACATAGCTTGTCAAATAGCGCAGAAACGAAAATGGCATATTTCATGAAACTTAGTCAAACCGAGTGAATATTCATGGGTGACGATTTTTGGTCAAATTTGTAAAAACGAAATCAACTCGACGGAATTGACGATTTTGACCAATTGTTTACTCAAATTCGTCTGCACGAAACTTGAAAATTTTGACGAAATCCCGTCATATCTGCCATTTTCGTTGACGCATGCATTTCTGGACACGTCTGTGCAAAAGCGTGGCATGAAAACTTGACTTTAATTTGAAGATGAGGAGCGGGAATGGCGCAGTGGTCAGAGCACTCGCCTCCCACCGCTGTGGCCTGGGCTCGGTTCCCGGACTTGGCATGACATGTGGGTTGAGTGTTGTTGTTGGTTCTCGTCCTTTTTCCGTGGGTTCTTCGCCGGGTCATCCAGTTTTCCTCCCTTCGCATTACAAATTCCGATTCGATCTGGAAACAGTGGACGAGAAGAGCCACCTAGTGGAATGGGTGAGTTATGCAGTGTACACGTATAGATGCTATAATAAATAAAAGAACATAAGGCGCAAGGCGTAGCCTATGTCTTCTTAAGAAACGTACGTCTATACAGATAACTATATTTATGTCTAAAACTAAAACGAAATATTCCCTAGAGGTCTCTAGAATATTCCCTAAAAGTCTCTAAAACATTAAAGTTTCCACTATTACTTGACGGTGGCCTTGATGGTGCGCGCTATGTTAAGCGAGCTTAAGAGCGTCGCTTTCTGCATTTTTCGCAGGATTTCCTTTCTCCTATCGCCCACAAGCTTCTTCATTGTTTTCTCGAGCTGCTTTGACCACCCCTCTAGCACATCGATAACTATGTTGAACTGCTCCACGCAATATCCAACATATTGCTTTTTAAGCTCCCATCGCAGTGGGGCATATTTTCCCGTCTTTTCCTTCTCCTTTTTCCGCGGTTATCAGAATAGGGACAACTCATTTCCACCGCCAAACTTGCTTCCTGTTGTGATCCACGAACCTGGCATCCCCTCTGTTGGCCTTGACGTGACTATGGTCGACACACACTGGTACATCCCAGTACGCTTGAGCATCCGAAGATTCGTACACTGGTTTGGGTGCTACTAACGAGTACCATGGTGGTACTGAGTCCACTAGCTTCAGGTCTTTACACACTTCAAAGAAAAGCACCTTTAGCACAGCGTTGTGTCGGT